GTTAGTGGTGGGTGGTTCTGACTAACTACCTTCTCTCTCTAGTTCGGGCCCAGCATGGCCAAGTGGTTAGGGTGCTTGACTCGCAATCTGAGGGTCGCGGGTTCGAATCCCCGTCCCACCAAACATGCTCGACCTTTCATCCGAGGAGGCGTTATAATGTGACGGTTAATCCCACTATTCGTTGGTAAAAGAGTGGCCCAAAAGTTGGCGGTTGTTGGGGATGATTAGTTGCCTTCCCTCTAGACTTTCACTGCTAAATTAGGGACGGCTAGCGCAGATAACCCTCGTGTAGCTTTGCACATGAAGTATGTAAAATTCAGTAAAGTCTATTTTAGGTTGACTAGCTCAATCCGGTTTTCGGTTGGACCGGATCGGCCGGCCCAGAAGGAAGTTTACACCCTAGTGTATATGTTGAGAATTAACATATAGTAATTTACGATTTTATTAATAAACACTAATTAGAATCTCGCTCTCTCTCTCTCTGTTCGGGTTTTCGTCATTCTTATATAGCCTTGAACGAAGTGTCATTTCACACAACAGTGGGTAATGAATATAATCGTTTTAAGTTTGAGAAGACAGCTCGCAGACTATCGACAACATTATCGTGTTGCTGAAGTTGTTATCCCTTGTACGTATATGATATATATGTTTCTAATGTCACCTCGTTCTCCCTGTCACCTGGAGTATGGTTGAACTAACTTTTAACTCATATTTTTTGCGGCACTCTGGTTACTGATGTGCCGTTTGATTCAGTTCTCCATCAGTATATTTCAAAATAAAAGAGAGAGCAGAGAGAGAGAAGCGAAATGAGTTTTAAACCAAAAGAAATTAGTGAACTTAAAAACATAATTACGTTTTATAATATGTGACAGTATAAAGAACATATGTAGGTGTAGGCGTAAGCGAAACGAGATTGTTAGATTATAAAAATGTACAAATTAGAAAAATATGCGTAATCTAAAGGAGAAAGATGTATAAGCCATACTAAGTCATAGAGCACTTAATCCACGCAGTTATTTTTTGTTGCTATTTTGCTTAACGTATGCTATAAATGAAATAGAATAATTAAGACATGTATGAACATGCCCACATTTTCCTTCATTCCACCATAATATCTTACCTGCCTCAGTTACATATTTATATTTACAGTTTACACAGCTTGGTATGTTGCTTTATACGTTATCAGACATATCTTCAATATAAGATATGCGTTGAAATTTTCAAAAAAAAAGATGTATACTTATAATAATACATTCATTTCTTATTACATCAAATATTTCAATTAGCATAAGATTGTTTTTGTATACACATTGAAATTTAAAGAAAATATTTAGACAAAAAGGAACGTAAAATACATACAGTTTGTTTGTAATTAAGCACAAAGCTACACTATGGGATATCTATGCACTGTCCACCACAGGTATCGAAACCTGGATTCTAGTGTTGTAAGTCCGCAGACATACCGCTGTGCCACTGGGAGGCAAATACATACAGCATTGGATCCGACAAAAGTTTTCAATCCGAAGGTTCATGGTTCGCGTCTTTTTTTACTACAAATCTGCGGTTCACATATTAGAACCGTGAGTGCTTATCGACAATGAAGGTCAAATCTTACTATTCGATTAAAGTAGCCAAAAAGATGGCGATGGGTGCGGTTTACTAACTGCCTTCCCTCTAGTCTATCAATTCAAACTTAGGAATAGCTAACGTAGATAGCCTTTGTTTGTTTTTGCGCGAAATTTCGAAACTAGGACACAAAACAAAACTATGGGAGATATTCATTCCCTTACCCGTTAACTGAATTTCAATAAAGACAACCGTTTCATCAACCTATCTCGCAACCTTAGAATTAGGTATATTTATTTTTTCGTTGCTCATTTCCTCAAACGGTTAAAGGAGACACACGATTGAACACCAAGTGTAAACAATGCTTGAAAACTTTAATGCTATAATTCTTAATTTTGCGTATTTTAATGGTTTTCTTTCTTTAGTAGTAGGTATGGGTTTTACAGCTTGCGATTGTCACACGTTTTAATTCATCTAATGTGTAGAATAAAGTTCATCCTTTTTTTACTGTTTAACGTTAACCGAAACTACTTTTTAAACTGTTATAATTTTTTGAAGAACGTGTATACATAATGAGCAACAGAACGACGGCTGCAACAACGAACATTTGACACATGTGTGCACAGTAACAAACATTTATTTCTTTAACGTTTCGGAATATACATATCCTATCTTCAGCAAGCTATATTGAACAGGGTAAATTATTAGGTTCAAAATCTATAAATTTAAACATTTTTATAAAAAGTAATTAAAAAAGAATATAAGGATGAAGTACATTAAAAAACAAACAAATAAAGAAAGAATAGAATAAAAAAAACAATATTATACAAGTTATTCAGAACAGACTTAATTGAAGTGAAGCTGTGTTATTATTTAAAGTTGGGAGTTCATTTATAATAGATAAACTTTCTTTTAATTAAAAGTTCAATATTGGATGATTCAGATGAGATGACTTTGAAATTAGTAATCAAGACGGGAGTGGTTAGTGTTTTCACTGTGTGTGCTAATCGTGGAGTCTGGTGGATTTGATAGTTTTTACCAGTTTTGCTTGATACCCCCACCCCCAGTATGTTCACAGACTCGCAGGTGTAACTGGCGTACAATTTTGCCAATGTAAGTGGCATTACAGCTACCACATGGTACGCATAGGGGTAGATAATAGATCTGTAGATCGGAATAGATTTTGTATTTTGAATAGTAATTTAAATATCATTAGTAGTTGAACTTGTGGGTAAGACGTTTTCATTATTCTTAAAATTTGTGACTTCAGTATGTAAGTTTGCTTACCTAAAAAAAGGAAAGATCAGTCTTAATGGGTATTTATCAACAGTGTATGGTTTCTTTGGGGGCTCAGATTTGTGAGAAAGGAACTTGCGTGTTAGGGCTTGAATAAGATATATGGGATAGCCGTTGTTTATTAGAATGTTCTATAAGGTGGTAATTCCGGTATGACGAGAGAGGTGGTTGCAACAGATGTTATATGCTCTATTGAGAAGACTGACGTTTAAAGGAATTCTGAATAAAACTGTCGATAAACAGATGTTGTGAAATGGTTATCTGATCTGCTGATTTGGATATCAAGAAAAGGCAAATTTTCCATTTTTTTTACCATGATTTTATTACATGAACAAAGAGTTGTCATTCATTATACCCTGACCACATATTAACAAAAACTTATTCTACTCTAACGCTTATGTATTTTTATGTTATTACATTAAACAATTCTCACTGTACCCTGATGCTTCTACAAGAACAACATGTCGCCATGATAGCTAAAAAAAATCAACAAATATTACGATGATATTTTCATCATAAATGTGATTCAATTTGAGGGCTAAAAGTTGATTATTAATGATTGGAGACGGCTTGAATGGGTAGTGAAGAAAAACTTTAATATAAGTTTAACATAACAGAATGTTAACAGTTTAACATCACCCGATGATGACAAAACCTTGTCGAAACGTTGTACATTTGCTGTTATGTTAAACTTATATTAAAGTTTTTCTTCACTACCCATTCAAGCCGTCTCCAACAATTATTAGTCTCAAAGTGGGTTCCTCGTCATCGAATTTGAAAGGTTGATTATGTTCTTTCAATAAATCGTTTGATCAAGTCAAGCCGATCGTTGGGACACCCCTGATTCAGTCGTTGTTATAATTATTCAGGTTTCCCGGTTCTCTGCCATTCTCACATATTCTATCGCCGATCTCTTAGTCCATTTCTTATGTTGGTCAACCACTTTGTTTTTGGTCTTCCTCTTTTGCGCTTCCCTTCCACTACCTTATGCAGGATAGTATTCGCAAGGTACCTAGTTTTCTTGTTACATCGCCAAATCAATGTAGTTTCCTTTTCGTAGTTTCTATTAACAGTTCCTCGGTGTTGATTTTTGTACAATTTCCTCTTTAAATGGCTTATATGTTCTGTGCGCGGTAGAGGAAATGCCCATAAGTCTTCTGCAGCATCTCTTTTTGAAAGCTTCTACCCTATTTTCCAATCTATTTGTAAGGGTTCATACATCACATCCATATAGTGCTGTGTAGGTAAGTACAGTACATAGAAGATTATTTTTTAAATGTGGTTTCCTTATCTTTCCAGATTTTCTTGAGTTTGGAAAGTTATCCTGTGACTAAGGTCAATATGGTTATTATTTTATTTTCTGTTGTTGCGTCCTCTGTGATGTTCGCTCCAAGATATTTAAAATTGCGGAACCTTTCTAGTTTCTCTTCTCCGATTTGGATATCCAACACTGTAGGATATCCAGTTTGGATATCCTACAGTGTTGGATGATCAATGCTCCATCTAGAAGTGATCATTCTCCATGTCGTATTCTTTTGATGTCTTGTGCAGCCTTGTTGTAAGGTCTGCTAATGTTGATTCTGTAATTAGATTTATAAAATCTGAAACTGTGAGCTTATATTTATTTTTTTGACCTCCAATTGTTGCTCAAACAGTTAAGTTTTCCAGACCATCTTTGTTCGCCATATATACTTCTCCATTTCTTCTCAAATCTTGAGTGACATTCTTTCTTTCTTTGTTCCTCTGTGGTGGATAAAATACAGATAACTTATTATCTGTCTTTGCGATAAGACAGACAAACGGAACAAAATCTTATAATATTATTTATTATATGAGTTTCTGGACACCTTTACTTATCTACGTTTGTTTTTGGAATAAATATTTTAGTGAAATACGCAATAATTAAACCAATCGAACTGCTAAATTCCAATAAAATAACATTATGCATGTATTAGTTATTTTGCATGTCTTGTAGGTTAGCACTTTTAAAAATGTAAGTAAGTTGTATTGGTGAAAAAAAACAACAAACAATTACAGTTCTGTCAGCAAGTTTTTATTTCGCTGTTAGTTACGTTCTGTCGCCTAGTGACGAAATTACGTACTATTCTATGTGTGTTACGACGTCATAAACTGGCTTCAGGACATGTACTTAGCCTCTACTTTTTTATGTAGGACAAAAGCATTTACATCGTGTTTAGCACAGAAGTCGTATACGCTGACCTCGGAACGTGAGCTAAAAGTAGTTTAAAAAATATTGTTTCTTTTAAATATTTCGGACCATATTTCAAAAAAAGTTTTTATAACAACAGAATACAACTCTATAGAGACGTCAGCAAAAAATATGTACGCTACATCACGTCATCCAATACAAACCATGAATATGTAACTAAAACATGTGTACAGGTGCACCCTGGCCGTTTGACAAGAATTGGTTGCATTTCATCCTACGGGACCGAATAACGAGAATAAAAAAAGTTGTTTCATGTGAACAGACCACCAAACATTTGTTAGCTATACGATGGTATTTCAGGAAGGCAAGATACCTCCCAACGTACCTCAACATCAAGGATTTAAGGTTAGTTTATGAAAAATTAAGTGTTATTTTTAAAATCGATAAAATGTTAACCGTTTTCTCATGTAAACAATGAAATATGTATGCGACGGATTCGAATTAAAAAAAAACACAGAAATCTAAAAATAAGCAAGTAAACATTAAGTATTTTTGAATAGAGAAGAAATTAACCAACATATGGAATTTCAATAATAGAAAAGAGAACCACTAAGAACAGTTTGGATCGTCCAAATAGCAAGTATCCTTCCTGTCTCTCTCTCTCTCTTGCAACTACTAAATTATTTTTTAACTCTTAAAATATACGTATTACAAAGTAGGCGATGTTCATAGATAACTAGAAAATACTGTTTCAAGATTTCGTAATTCATAGTAGAAACTTTAGGCGCAGAATTTAACATATTCTGCTTCTCTTGGTAGATGAGTTTTGGATTATGATAAATTTTGTTTTTGTTTTGATGAATTTCGCGCAAAGTTACAAGAGGACTATCTGCGCTACCCGTCCCCAATATTGAAGTCATAGACCCGAGGAAAGATAGATAGTCAACACCACCCACCGCCAATTTGTGGGTTACTCTGATCGAATTGTGGGATTTGACCATTACTCTTGTAACGCACCTACGACCCCAAAGTGCGAAGCCCTATTTTTGTTCTTGTTGGGTTGTAACAGGGAGCCTCGGATATACAGTTCGGCACACTATAGCTTCGCTGCGTTGTGTGTGTTTGTTTTCAAGATGTGTTGAACTGATAAAAGAGTCACTTGGAACAAATTTATATTCATGTTTAACTTGGATTGAAACAGGGAGAAATACTTTGTTTTAATTTAATATATCACACTTATTCCTCCGGATGGTTCAATGATAAGGACTTGAAGACTTATATTGCATAAAATTCAGGGTCAGATCCCTGCGGTAGGCTTGTTGTATAGCATTGCGGTTAAAAATTAACATATGATATATCTGAATTGTAGTCCTAATCCAAAGCCTGAATACATTTAACATATTGTTAGCTTTGGCCAAATATGACAACAACAGCTGAAGACATTAACATAAGTATTGTTAGCTTTGGCAACATATGACAGCAAGAGCTAAAGACATTAACTATTGTTAGCTTTGAGAAAATATGACAAAAAAGCTAAAGACATTGGTTTAAGACGGGATCAGTAATACTTAAAATAAGTCGTTTTTAAAGTTACCCAAGATAACAGTGCTAGATAATCCGTTTTTAAAGTTATCAAAGACAGCAATGCTAAATAATCCGTTTTTAAAGTTATCAACGCAAGCAATGCTAAATTATCCGTTTTTAAAGTTATCAAAGATAGCAATGCTAAATAATCCGTTTTACAGTTATCAAAGATAGCAATGCTAAATAATCCGTTTATAAAGTTATCAAAGCTAGCAATGCTAAATAATTCATTTATAAAGTTACCAAAGTTAGCAATGCTACATAATCCGTTTTTAAAGTTATCAAAGTTAGCAATGCTACATAATCCGTTTTTAAATTTATTAAAGTTAGCAATGCTACATAATCCGTTTTTAAATTTATCAAAGCTAGTAATGCTACATAATCCGTTTTTAAAGTTATCAAAGATAGCAATGCTACATAATCCGTTTTTAAAGTTATCAAAGCTAGCAATGCTACATAATCCGTTTTTAAAGTCATCAAAGCTAGCAATGCTACATAATTTGTTTTTAAAGTTATCAAAGCTAGTAATGCTACATAATCTGTTTTTAAAGTTATCAAAGCTAGTAATGCTACATAATCCGTTTTTAAAGTTATCAACGCTAACAATGCTATCTGAACATAGCTTCCTTCCTGTATTTTCGGAATACGAAAACTTAAAAAACTATAAGTAGCGGAAGAATTCTTCATTTTGCAGATATAAACTATGGGAAGACAGTTAAAAGCTAATTTACAGAAAGAAATATTCATCATTCATTTTTACTTAGTGTTTCTATACTATCTTCAATAATACATGCCCCCCTCACACACACTGGTAGGACAGCGACAAGTCTACTGATTTACAACGCTAAAATTCGGGGTTCGATTCCCAGCGGAGGGCATAGCAGATAGCCCAATGTGGCTTAGCTCTAAAACAAACAACCAGTATTAGATATTGAAAACTATCCAATAACTTTTTATTCTCAGACATAAGAAACGGTATATATATATATATATATATAATCAAAACTGAACTAAGTTGAAATTGATGATCTAGCTTTTGATGTAAAGAAACACAACTCTTAAAAATAAGAATCAGAAATAAGTTCTACCTGTATCTTTGAAAAAGAGATAAAAATAAACAAATAAACATTGGAACAGCACTAGTAACTGAATAAATAAAAAGGAAAGGTTTGTTTTCAAATATTTCCGCAGTGTTTAAAGAGGCAATAAGAGGAAACACATGCAAGCAGCTTTAGAAATAATAAATACTATTTTTACATTAAACATCACGATTAACGTAAAATTACTGAACACTAAATAAGAAACTTCCAATGGAAAAATTAATATGTGCAAAAATTATATATCCTATGTGGATCAGGCATGGCTTCGTTGTTGGCTTGTCGGACTCTGAACTGAAGATCCATGTTCTACGAGTTGTAGTCGCAAAATCTCGCTCCACATTTTGGAACCGTGATGGGCAAATCTCGTTATTCGATCAAACAAGAATAGCTCCAGAGTTGGGTACTGTAGATTAGTCATATTCCCTCTATCCGTCAGTTCAGAATTAGAGACGACGTGTGCAGATAGCTCTTGTGTAGCATTGCGCAAACAAAGAGAATGTATCATATGTACAAATATGAAGTGAGGTTTTAGCTAATCACGAATTAAAAACTTTCCTTGTTTCCAATACCAAGAGTGAATAATATCATATGCGAATCATTTTTATGAAATTAGAATGATTACAAAAGCTATACGTTTTGGGACTGTATTTTTATGTCTAAAACTCGACTTTTTTTTTTCATCAATTCCAGCTGAGACCATTTTGGCGCCGACATAAACTATCCATCCTTATCGTTACCGCGACAGTAACGGGCTTTTCTATTGGTTTGACGTTACGCCATTTTGAACCGGATTCGAGAACAATCCAATTGATTGGATTTCCTGGAAAAATTGTAATCCGAAGTTTTATCCTACTTATTGTACCACTGATAGTGTGTAATGTGACCGTAGGTAAGTCTTATAACCTCACTCACTACTAAATATCCAACAGAAACACACGTAAGCGTTGACCAATTGTCAATGAAATTACGTATCATGAAGTGAACATAAATACTCCAACGTAGTAATGAATAAAATGATTTTCATTTGTACTGATCCCAAAATATAACAGAAGTATCTACTTATTCACGACAATTTTATTACTATCATATATTATTCTATCGATTTTTGTTCCCAAGAAGTAATTTAGTACTCATTGATTTTAGCTATTTGCTGACATATATATCGGGCTAGTATGAACAAAACTACTTCAGTAAACTACTTCAATATATTTCCCACAGAGGTTATACATGACCGAATATGGGTGCTAATACGTTAAAGTTCTAAGGACCTAAAACTGCTCATGGGATTTCCAAGATCAAAAGTTTTTCAAACATGTTTATGTGATATCTCGAGGATCTTTGGTAAAGCAAAGCAGTCCATGTCCACAAAAACAGGAGGTTCACGCATTTCTTGTGTGGGTGTGTTCCTTAACGGGTGTGACTGCTGGATCACAAAGAATGAGACAGAACACAGATTTCACACAGAATACAAATGTTTAATGAGAGACATCACATTTTACAGTACAAACAACGATGCCCCTTTTACACAACACAAGGTAATACTACAAATTACAACAGAGCAAGTGATTGTGTAAGATTAAACCGAAAAAACGAACAGTGTGGCTAGCCAGAGTGTCAAATACTTTATTAAACCAAAAATATTTTCATGTAACCTAGACCAGCATACATATGAGTCTTACTCTAAGAGAGAGTGTCTCCATGTTAATATGAATTTATAGAGCCAACCCTAATACAAAAAAAAGAAAGAAAATAATGCTAATTACACTGTTTGCTCGCAGGTGAACTTACAAAATAAACTAAACTTATGGACGAACACACTCACCCATACAAATAAAGGTAGAAGTTCACTCTATAGTCACTGGAGAACTTGCAATGTTCTAAAAAAGTAAAACTATAGAAAAATAATACACTGACCTTGTTTATCACAGAGGAATGCAAGAACTTCATGAGTTCTTACCAGACTAATTTAAGTAACCTGTGAAAACTTAGTAACTAGCAAACAACAATATAGGACTCTTCTAAATTTCTAAGGAAAATTCTGCTTAAAATCTGGTAAAATGTATGAAAATATGTAGTAAAGTCTCTTGGTAATGTAGGTAAAATCTGCCCTGCAAAAACAACAACAACAACAACACTAAACGTGGCAATAATTTAGTTTGAAAGAAGAGAAAGCAAACTTTGCGTTTGCCTGCGTTTCCCAACTAGAGTGTTCGGGAACTATTGTTCCCCTTTAACCCTGCGCGTGAGATTGCATTACTTTAGTGATTTTGGTTACTAGTTGTGCTTATTGAAATAAACCATAGAATAGATACAAGAGCCATAGGAAAGCCGTAAAGAAAGATGGAGGAGGCAAGCAGTGGTTGAGTCGATGAGGTGAGTAGTGAGACGAAGCAGGGAGATCCAGACATGCATCCTAAGTAATGAGTTCTATATCACTTGGATTTAATGGGTTTTAGAAATTTGTAAGATCAGTTATTGAGATTGAATTTAAGAACATTTTCTGCCCTCCCAGGCCTCAATACTGTTTTAAATATGCCAATAAACTGACGCAAGAAAACGCTGATTGGTGCCTGTTATATTAGTTAGCCAATGGGCACTAAAGACCGTAGGCTGGATCACCTGTGGCTACTGCGTGATTCACTAACAAGAATATCTCGGCATGCTAGGTAAAAAGCCTGTTGTTATTCATGCAAGAAAATCAGATAAAAAGGTGTCTAGTCTCCACTTGGACCAATTAGCATTGCTATGTTCCAACTGTGAAACTATAAAAAAAAATGACAAAATTTTGTAAACTCTACTTTTAAATGAAAAGGAGTGGGAAACGTGTAGGATAGCGTGGTACTAGAATTACAAGCATATTGTCTTATCGTGTTCTGAGTTTAATTGATAAAATTGCTCTTTTCTGCCCTTTATAGTTTCTGGTACAAAAGTTGGAATTCCATTTTTGTCATTTAGAAGATAAATTGCTTAAGAACCTATGTATTGGTGAATGGGTAAATTTGAAATAGATTTCCATAGTTTCTTCCATTGGCTGTTGTGCTTTAATGCAGTAAAACATTTTGAATGAACAAATGAAAACTTCTCAAAACACTGACAGTAGTAAGAAGTAAATTGTACTAAATCCTTACCATTCTTAGGCCGGCTGAGGTCTTGTATTGGCATGTTCAGATTGTGAATCTGAAGGCTCATGATTTGTGTTCTATTGCTACCAAAGACGAGTCTTTGGAGCCCTGGCTTGACCAAAAATATAAATATAAGACTAATAGGTCAGAGATGGATGAGGACACTGTTAAGATGAGGAAGGAGCTGAAGGTACTTACCTGGCAGTCTGTAATGAATCGAGTGAAGAGTTAGATGAGGAGTTGCTAGAAATAAAAGTAATAGGTAACTCCAACCATTGAAAGGGTCAATTATGTCAACCTCACAATCATTATGGGTGGGGTCGATCAATGTTTTAATACTAGAACAGTCAGACAGTTGAGCAACCAATGATTGAAAGGAAGTATTGTTCCTAGCATTCTGATGTATCAAGCATAGTTCTACTAAATGAGATATCCTTATGATGCTGGGTGAAATATGCTCAAGGATCAACAGTTAGGACATTCATTGATCTGTATGATCACAGATGAAGTGGCGATCCTTGCTTTCGAAACTATCAAATGATTCACGCTACATCTAAACCTTGACAAAACGCGCTTCGATACAATACGAATTCGAATATAACGTGTTTAGTGTTTGGACCCCTTTTTAAAAACGAAGAAACATAAATGGTGGTAGTTTTTTGCTTTCATCGTATAACAAAAGGATCTTAAAAACACAAAAGAAACATGCTTTTGTGATGATTTGATTACTTCTAAATAGCAAAGTGGCTACATTGAAATCCAGTATAAAATAGCATAATTGTTTTCTTAACAATTGCCAAAGTTCAATTCGGCCATTTTTAATTTAATTATCCTTTGACCAGTCACATCAATAGCTGTTGGTCAACCATTCTCGTGATTATCCGCACCTCAAATCAAATTGCAGTCGTACTTTTGAGAGCTAAAACTGTTTTAGCTTTTTTCAAGCGCTACGCATTACAACCACACTGTGTAATCCTTAGTATTGCTGTGGACAAAGGTAAGGTCCATATAAAAATCCATCAACCTTTACTGCCCACCATTCCTACGTTATCTAAACTGTAAGACGATTCCTTGCGAATTATAGACCCCTCTCCCCATTCGGGCTTCACGGCATTGTGGCCACATCATCGCCAAAACGCAAACGCAAATCGCGGGAATTGAAAAACAAAATTATCACATTGGACAAACTAATAATAGAGTTAAACAAGGAGTAGTTTCCCGTGAACTAGGCGTTGATAACTCAACATTGCACAGTTGAATCAAAGAAGAAGCAAAACAGAGTGTAAATTTAACATGGTGTACTTTTACCTGAACTATAACTTCTTAGTTTTACGCTTTTTTGTTTAAACCACATAGGTTTAATAGGATATTTCCACTAAGTTGTAGTTGTATCATTAATATGTGTTGTTATTTCATGTTTTCTGTATTTGTTAATTGAAATACCATTATCATTATACATGTAAATGTCCCTGTTTCCTTCCTTTTCGACTCTACTGTTCTTAGTGGACCTATCCGATATTTGTAGAGAAATAAGTTCACCTGAGAATACCACAATCTTAACGTAAAGTTAACAGTTGGGACACAGAGCCTTTAAAAATTTTTGTGCTCGACCTACTGTACTGTCGAACGTTTAATATCAGTGACAAAGTTGCCAATAAGTTCATTACACGAGATTCATGAAACATATAGTTAACTTTCTCAAGAACAATTTTGTATGTAGTGTAAGTTATTTATTGTTAATCATGTGATTGCTTTTAGTTAATACTGATCGATATTTTTACTAAACTTTTTAAATTTGATAATTGTTATTCAAGACGCTGCATGCAGAGGTTTAATTAGGTAAACTTATTCAATGACGAGGAACCCACTTTGAGACTAATAATGGCTGGAGACGGCTTGAATGGGTAATGAAGAAAAACTTTAATATAAGTTTAACATAACAACAAATGTGCAACTGTACGACAAGGTTTTGTCATCATCATGTACAGTTGCACATTTGTTGTTATGTTAAACTTATATTAATGTTTTTCTTCATTACCCATTCAAGCCGTCTCCAGCCATTATTAGTCTCAAAGTGGGTTCCTCGTCATTGATTAAGTTTACCTAATTAAACCTCTGCATGCAGCG